GTTGGTCGTGATGGTGGTTGCAGCTGGCCAGGGGACACAGTCCCTGTTCCAGAGCCCTTGAACTCTTAGGGCCTGGTTGCTTCAACAGAGCTTCCCAAGGAGGCATTTCTATTTCTAGCTTATTAGCTAGTTGGTGCCAAAAATCCAGCATCTTAGTTGTGTGCATACAGTCAGAAAGGGAGAAGGTCCTTTGACAGGGCAAGAGGAAATGGTATCAAGTGCCAACAGAGGAGGTTTAGTTTAGACATGAGGAAAAACTTCCACACCAAAAGGGTGACCAAAGACTGGAACAGGCTTCCCAGGGACCTATCACCATCCCTGGATGTATTTAAAAGCTGTCTAGATAGGGTGCTCAGGGATATGGTGCAGAAGTGGCCTGGTAGAGTTAGATAATGGTTGGACTCCATGATCTTAAAGGTCCTTTCCAAACACAGTGATTCTGTGAACCCCTGTGTGATCTGGGAACAAATTGCTACTGTTTAGTATCTTGGCTGTTGCAGAAATAGAAGACAGGAAGTGGGAACAAGTTGGGGGAGAAACAGGAAAAACAGGGACAAGAATGTAAGTGAGATTTTGTCTGTTTATGTTTATGTAATGTGTTTGAAAGCACCAGTATTTTTCACATTAAACTTTATATCCAGATTAACCACAAGCATTTCAAGCTGTAGCTTGGAAGCCCACAGTTTATAGCTACCTGGCAGACTTTTTTGAATGAGATGCTGGATACATTTGTCATTAACAGTGTATTGGCTTAGTGGCAGCTGGCAGATTTTCTTGTTTACACGCTGACATTTGGCTTATAGGTTATCTAAAATACATGACTATTTTAGTATCCCTGAGTTGGTTACGTGTGCTGAGGAGGCTAACAGCTTATGACCTCAACCTCCTTGTATGTTTTTATCAGAAGCATGATTGTAAATGCATCACTCCCACTGATATAAGTTGTACTGTCTATAACTTAATCTAGAAAAGTGTGAATGCTCGTCTGTAAAGTTATTTGAATATTTAAGTCATTTTGGAGACATGAGAGACATCAGAAAATAAAAAACAGCTTGTGGATTGAGAGTCTGATGCAGCATTTTTATGATCATGTTAGATTGAAAGAAGACTGGTGATGTATTCACACAAACAGATGGATAGCACTTAGTTTCTAGTATTTCTCAGTGTCTGCTCTGAAGTATGTATATATTTTTATGTTGGTTATGGAACAATTATGTTGTATATGTAAGAGATTTTGTGCTTTTATATTTGGATTTTGTGGTAAATTAATCTGAGATAATTGGCACTGATTGTACTAGAGGCAAAACAATTGATGCTAGTGCTCAGCATGGTGTGTTGGAATAATGTCCAAGTGATGGGATGTAATTTTACAATACAGTAACCTGTCATCATCAAGCAAGGGGTTTGCTTCCTCTAATGAGGAGATTAACGTGGCGTTTCAGAGCTGCCCATTACTCATCCTCCCACTTTTTGTCTTGTTACCATCTCATTTTTCTTTACGGTTTCCTTCTGATGTATGTATGTGATGATTTGTGTAGGTTAGTAAAGAAACACTTTGTACCTTAAATCTAGCTCTTAAAGGGTGGAAGTCACTGACTTGAACTGGCATAAAGTGACAAAACATTTATAAGAAGAAACAAATGAACCATTTCCTGGGTTTACTTTGCTGCTTAAGTTAAGCTTACTGTGGGTGGTTCTGTTGTTCTCTTGTTCTACTGCCAATAGCTATAATAGTCTGTTTTCTGGTATTGGAGGTGCTCTCTGTGCTTTCTTCAAGACTATTCTATATCTCAATAAAAATTAGCTCTATTTGTTAAAAAACTTTTGTTGTTGTTATTGTTTAAGAAAGAAGAGCAAGATCCTGGAGAAGATCCAGAAGACAAAGCTCACAAGCTAAACCTTGCCAATAACCAAAATCCTTGTTACTTGTGTGGTGACTTTGATTCACTTAAATTATATTTATTGTCACTCACTGCAGTTGTGAGGAACCCAAATTATATGATTGGCAACTAGAAAATGTCCCAGAGCAGGGACATGTGTCCCCCTTTTCTATCCAGCAGGCATAGCAGTAAGGGCTGCCTACCTCAACGATTAGATTCTCTGTGTGTTGACCCCTCTTCCTTCCCATCAGTGCTTGCTCACAGACACCCTTCTGCTACTGTTACTTGTTTTGCTCAGGAAGTCAGGATCTTGCAAATTAAGAGGACATTTGTCCACAGGACGGTTCATGTCTCCTGTAATAGGAGTCAGTGGGTACATGAAAGGATGCTGAGGTCTGTTGAGAAGAGCTCAAAGTTGTGGCTGTATATGTGGCAGAAATTCTATGTGCTTTCCATTTTGTTTTCTGGATGTTACCTTCTTTCTTACCAAAGTCAGTAAAGTTCTGCCAATGTGAATCTGTGTTTTGAGCATGAATTGAGTTTTTTTTCTCTTAACACTTAAATGTCATGGGAGATCTTCATGTGTTCTGGAGGAATGTGACCCAGTGAAGGAAAGAAACTTGCATTGTGTTGATGTGAAAGAAATAAAAATAGAAGCCTAGAACAATATGGGGAAAACCCAGACCCAGTGTCATTATCACATGAGCAAATTTAAGGATCTGCTTGTGTACAGTATTCTCTCCATATTTGGTGTACTGTGTTCAACCAGTTGTCAAACTTACAGTGATGGAGGGGTAACAGCCTCACAAGCTGGGACACTTAATACAATATAAAATAAATTGGAAAAGTTAAGTTCCTCTGTATTTTTTGCAGTTAACCCCAAATGAATCACATATTATAAGTATACCTAATAATTTGTACAGTTATAATGCTTCCACAAGCATAAAATCACACTCTGTAGACAACCAAAGCCTTGTGGTTGTCCGGGATGATGGGGATGGAATATTGACTGACACAGATAACCTACAGCAAATAGAGTTTGCTGTAGACACAAGGTTGGCACCACATGCAACCAGCTTGGGTCAAGCCTTCATTCTGCATCAGCTAGACCTCCGCTGGCTGCAGGAATGAGGAGAACTCAGGAGACCCAACACTACACTCAAGCTGAAGTTTTTCCAGGCGTTGTGGGTAGTACTGTGTCCGGCTCATAAGCCCGTTCCAAGCCCAAGACATTACCAAGTTCAGTGACTGGCAGTAGTCCGAGGGGACCAGCTGATCCCAGGAAGAGTTCTTCCTCTGTTGGATACCGTAGTTTACTAAATAGGACACAGGCTGGCTCCGTGAGGGGTTTGTCAGACTGGGCTCCAGCTGTTGAAGCAAATTTGATCCTGAAGGCCAAGTAGCCATAGCTGAGTAGTGTGCTCCTGATCCCAAAAGCCCTGAAGGGTCTGAGCAGGCTGCTCATGTGAATAGTAGGTCTGTCCAGTATTACTGCTGTGCAGCCACAGAGGAGAACCTGTCTGTGGATACTGGGGAAATGACTCTATGTTGTTTATGAACATCAGCTACTAAAAATCCATGGCCTGTCAAAAGTCATGAAGTTAGCATGAAGCTGTTAAAATCCTGTGCTTTCTGTCTTCTGAGTTTCTAGACTGCATTAGCTTGTTATGTTCAAACTTTTCTCAGAAACCTTAAGAACTTAGAAAATGTGCGTATAAATATAGAGATTCGTATTTTGTCTGGTGGAACTTCAATAGAATTATTAAGTATGGGAGTTGACAACACTGAAAAGGTAGGTCTAATTTAAGGAATGATTGAAAATCAGCCTAGGCAAAAGTCTAAAGTGAAAATGATGCCATCCCTGCAAGCAGAATGTTTGCTTTTTATCCTTGATCTTGGAAAGGACAGACAGCAAAAAAAAAAGTGTCAACTACAAAGTGTTCTGGGTCAAGAATGACTGTGCCTGAAAGATTGGTAAGATTGTCACAAAGTTGCTTCTTGTAAACTAAAAGAAATACTAATAATTATGTTTCTTTTTAAATTATGATGGAAAGTGTGTCTAAAGTGTCATTCCTACATTCTGTTGAGGCATGTGAGCATACTGCTTAAAGATGATGTCAGAAATACTCACTGATGATGTGCAATTAAAAAGTAATTTATTTTCACTTCCTGCAACCGATGATGTGCTAACAGTAAAGAATATGTTAGAAATGGGAGATGATGTCTCTTTCAAGTATCAAAGTTTATCTCCATCATACTATTCTGCCCAGCTACATGAGGTAACATCATAATTGGAGGTAAGACACCTCAGAGTAACTAGTTTCAAAGAAACTCAGGAAACAGTAGCTGAACCACTGGAAGGATGATTTGTTTCCAGGTGTGAGTATAAACCAGGTGAAAATACAAGTGGATGGCCAAAGCTGAAGCTTCTAAAATATAACCTTGCAAAAGGAAAAGGTGCTGTAAGTTGCCAGCAGTTGTTGGTGAAGCGATGCAAACGCCAAGAAGCCCTGCCCAGTCTCCATGCAGAGGTGGGGAGGGTGTGAGCTGTGCAGGGTAAGGGAAGGTGAGCGCCTCTAACCCTATTCTTCCCTGTTAAATCAAACATGTTAATAGCATGGGCTGGGGTTTTCTTTGGGAAGTTGTTTTGAATTATTTTAGTTGGGCTGGTGACAGGCCCCCAAGGAAGGGTTTGAAGGTGTCAAAGCACAGGTGGGCTCATGTTTGCACTGTGACTGGGACCAGAGGTATCCTGTCCAGGGACCAGTCTGAAAGCTGAACATTCTTGGGAAAACACACAGAAAGGGAAGCAGCTCATCCTGACACCTAGTAGTTTACTCAGGGTATGCGGAGGGATTTAGGGAAAAACCAGATTGCAGCTTCAACAATGTAATAGCAAGAGGGGGAGATGGAATCTGAAATAAGAGGCGTAAGTGTACACGGGGAGGAATTCAGGCTGCTTGCAAGATGGGGTCACAGACAGTATAAAGTCACAGGTGAATCTGACAAAAAGTATAAACAACATGCAATCTATATTTTTGAATGCTTCACTGTTAATAACTTCAATTCTGATGATGGTAAACCAGGCAAGGAAAGAGCTGGAGGACATTAGCTCTGAAGATCATTTGGTACAGTTTTTTGATTGCAGAGGAACTCACTTAAACCAAGTCAGTGCCTGGCCTGTGAAGCTTCAATTCATGATTTCCCATTGGAAGTTTGATGACTCAAGTTGCTGTTAGTTTTCTCTATTTTTTTCTCCTCCCTTCCCCCCTTTTTTTCCTCTCTCTTCTCTCTCCTTATGTGCTTCCATCCTGGATCTAAAAAGCTGCTGTCGTAAGAATTACTGAAGCTAAAGAAATGATGCTTTTTAGTATCTAAAAGCTTTGCAGCCTTGAGTCATATGGAGGATAAAAAGCAATCCATCTTAAAGATTAGTGTTTTTTAAACCACTGAAACCCACATTTGACCTTAGAATTGGGAGGAGAGGGATGCTAATGATGATAACAGGATTAAAACCTGGTTCCTCTTAGCCTTGTATAATGTACATAGTATTTCACAAAACAGTACAAGCATGAGTGGGAAGGCTTCCGAATGACCAGAAGAGCTGAGTTGTTAAGCACAGACTGCTGTTATGGGCAGTTATTTGTTTATCTGGATAAACAGATCCTTTTTCACTAAGGAAAAGAAATTGGAAAGGATATCGAGAATATGTATTTTTGAGACTTGGTGGTGTTCTCCAGTGGCTCCGTGGATTACACACAGGGCAATTATACTTCATCTTTGTTACATCCACAGCTAAGCACTGGCTTCCTTTTTATTTCTTCAGATTTACTTGTGTAGCTTTCATACTGTCCCTGTGGCTAGTCGTGTGGAATTAAGATATCTCTGTTGTCAGTTCTCACACCGTTCATTCCTGGAGCTGCTCCTTGTATTTGAGCCATACAGCATCCTCGTATCCTGAGGAACTGTGTCTCTGCTGTACTGTCAGAACAAGCGTCTCTGTCATACCCCTTCTACCTGCTCCTCAGAATCATACCAGCCTTCTCCAAGTTCCTATGCTCACTTTCCTCAGCTCAGGGAATGCCCTTCCTGAGGTGCTCAGCAAAGCCACAACTCTGTACGCCTTTGAAACTTCCCTGAAGATCCACTTCTGTGATGCTTGCAAGAAACTAGCTAAGTCATCTGCTTATCCATTTCATTTATCTCATGAGTGATTCACTCCCTCGGTGGTGTCTGCAAGCAACTTATTGATTAAATCTACTTACTCTGTTTTTATAAAATAAAAATGTTACTGGATTGTGCCCTGCATTGGCCTTCACGGAGGCTGAGTGAATTCTAGGCTAACTGGATCACATTCACCTTTCTGATGCTGCTTGGTTCTTCCTGCCCATTTGTTGCTTGTATCCTTTGTTGCTAATGACTAGAAATACCTCCTTGGCCTTCAGCTGCCTGCAGATAAAGTGGCTTTGCTCTTCACTTGGGTCTTCATGACTTTAGCAGAACACCAAATACGTGTAGGAGTCTATCTGCCTGGAGTTGATTACGGGCTCGGTGTATTAGTTTGGAAGCAATTCCAGGCATGATCAGTGTTTTTTGTCTCTAGCAGGTGTCTCCTGCTGCAGTTTGCAGGAGTGTCTAAAGCTGTTCATAAGGAGCTAATAGCACTTGGTGTGACAGTTGACTGCTGCCATCCTGCTCTGTGCTTTTTTCATGTTACCTAGTTTTTGTGTTTGTAACTCCAAAGAAGTTCTGTAAGAAAAATGTGCAAAGTTTCTCATTACTTCTCTCTGGCAAATGTGAATAGTGTTATCCACAATTCAAACAGGGATTTTCAAGGTACTTTAATTTTAACACAATTTTAACTTAATAGATGAGAGTAACAAAAAAATTTTTCTTCATAAGACAGGGTAGCAAACTGAATCTTTATGTAGTTGTGCTGTGTAGTGTCATGAAGTAATACATACAGTAATATATACATACATTTTTTATTCCTGTGCTGCATAACAGGCATCATTTATTTGTGATTTTTTGTGCTTGTCATGTCTTTCTAATACACAAAGACCAGTGGGTCTCGCTTTTGTGCAGATGGTGACCTGTGTATTTAGCATCCTCTTCACCAGGGCATCTCTATCTGTAGGAATTTAAGCACATCCTGTGTGTCAGCAGGATCTGTGGGCTGGAGTGCAAGACATGTATACATTGTTCACTTGCTACCAGCATTTCCCAAGAAAACGTTATGGCCTTGGCTGTGTCAGCATCCTAATTTGATACCAGTTTTGTGTCATTATTGTCTAACAAGCTAAAGGTCACATAAGTAATTCATATTGCTAGAAACAATGGCAGCATTCCTCTAATGAGTAAAGACTCCAATTTGTTCAGTAAGACCCAGAGTTTGAATCCCCCTATTCCCTACAAGCCTTGGCCTTGAGCTGCAGGCTGGAGCTGCACTAATGGAGCTAATTCTCTGGTTATTTTTCCTGCCATATGGGGCACGGTTGCCTGGGGATGAGTCCTGAACGTTGTCGTAAGCATTAGTAATTAGCTAGATGGCAAACAAGGGAACTGACTGGAGTACTCAGAGTTACTGCTGACTACCTCCCGTGGTTGCAGTCCCTGACTAGAAGGTGAAAGAAGGCAAAGGAAGCAGTGAGAGCCTCCAAGAGAGCACGGATTCCTCCAGTGAACTAGCTGAGAGCTTTGAAGTAGAACATGCCTTCAACGTGGATTTCTTTTCTTCTTCTAGTTCAGCGTATGATACCAAAACAAGACAGAAGGTGGCAGTAAAAAAGCTTTCAAGACCTTTTCAATCGCTTATTCATGCAAGGAGGACCTACCGAGAGCTTAGGTTGCTTAAGCACATGAAGCATGAGAACGTAAGTGAAGAGTGAGTTCTTTCCCTTTGGATTTTCGTGACGAAAGTTTAGAATATGGGCTTAATTTCAGTTAGGTACAATCTTTTTCAAAAAGTACATGGAACTCTAGCTAGCCAAGACACCTGGACCTTGCCATCTTTCATGTAGTGAAGTCACTGGTCTTTAAAGCAGAGACTTTTGGTAAAAGGCTGCCTTATAATTTAAAAAATATCTAATTTCATCTTGAAGACACAGCTAATGAAATCCAGACCAAGTGGTCCTGCTCTTCTCTAACTGAAGTAGTAAGTGTTCTGCTCAGTACTGTTGGATGCTCCTGATATATCAGTCCAGAAAAAAAAAAATACCTCAAGCCTGCTTTTGCTGAATTTGGATTCTGTTGAGAAGTTAAGAGCAATTGTTAATTAAAATTAACAGTCTAATATCTAGATGAAAGATAGTAGAACTTCAGGCCTCAAATAATTAAGTACTGTTCTAAGTTTATGTGGCAAACGGTTGATTTCAGTGGGAATATCCACCTCCTTAAAAATGTCATGATGAATTGAAGCCTGCATAAAATATAGTGGTTTGAAAAGCCTTGGAGAAAGGATGCTAAAAAAAGTTAAACAACAACAGAACAAGAAACCCCATGAAATTGTGCATAATCTATAGTACATAGCAAGTGTATAAGTCACGTGTCAGCTTTTCCGTAAGGAGACATTAATTTTCTTGCCTTTGTTTCTGATTGTCTGAAGTCTCATTGTTATTACTTTTTGTAATTAATATAATTTTCTGTTGGTCACGGAGATAACTGGGGCTATACCTGTATAGGCCACCTATTGTGTTAGTCATACCAAATTTTAAGGATGACCGTGTGTCACATTTGTAGCTTACGTCACCAAGATGCTAAACACTGTCAATACTAATTACATGTTGCTTTGCAGATTGCTAAAATGTCAATTCCCTCATCTTTCAGGTTATAGGATTGCTAGACGTTTTTACACCTGCAACGTCAATAGAAAATTTTAATGAAGTGTAAGTAAAAGTTTTAAGTCATTCTGGTTAGTTAGGAACCAAGTATCACTCTGGTTTTAAAAAGGAAGCATGTACCTTTCTGGTAGACTTGCAGCCACAGTTGGCTTTGTGTGAAGAACCCCAATAAATCGTTTTGCAACTTCTTCACAAAAGAGGAGGCAGGTGGGTGAGCCTCATTTTTGTACTTTTTTGAATTATCATTATTAAGATTAAAGGGTAATGGTAAAAGGTAAATGGTTTGGTGCTGCATGAAGTCCTGTAAACTTAAAACTTTTGCACTTCAGGTGTGTGTTAGCTGTAGATTATTTTTTCACATCTAGATGGGATAGCTCCGGAATGCAGAAAAGAATTCTGTTGCTTAACAAGACAAGGTAAATTTATTCTAGATTTCTGACTAACCTAGGGCTAGGTGTACTTTCGTTTTAGTCAGACTTACAGTTTATGCTGGGCTCCTCTTGGTTTATTATTACTTTTCAAAAATATGAGGGTTTTATACTCCTGGTTTTGCCCGGGAAGAAAAGACTCCCAGTGGGACCCCAGTAGTACCTCCAGGGTGGTCTTCAGTGAACAGGAGGACAGTGGCAATTAAAGGAGGGATGGGCAATGATCACTTTCTTCCAAAATAAAAGGTTTTAATAACATGAAAATAACAAACAAAAACACCTGAGGCAGGCACTGAAACAGCACCCACCCCACGGGAGAAGTGAAAGAGCATGTGGCCTTGGGGCCAGGGGTTTTTAACAGGTTGGTAGGTGGGTTTACAAAGGCATTGTCCTGTAAGGATACACGGATGGGTTACCTACAGGTCAGGGGTCCAATGGGTGTTAGGGGATTGGTCTTGTGGTGGCTAAGCCAACCCCAACCTGGGAAAGGTGGAAAATTCTGGACGTGTGCCCCTGTCTGGGGACAAAGAGGCAACAGAAACCTCTGTCCCCAGGAGGCACACTGCAACAGTTTATATCAGGTATAAGCACTTAGATAAACAATTTAGCAGAGAAAATAGTAATTCATATATTTTTGTCTCCATGCAAATTAGTGGCCAAACCCCCTTGACTCCTAGGCGAAATTACACAAATGAGAACTGGGTATGATGAAGCATTGTTTTTAAGAAAGAATCAACATTTCTGCAAAAATTCTCAAAAAATAAAACTTCCAGTTGAGGCAAGGAAGGGGGTTACACGAAACAGCCTTATTTCAACCCATCCAATGTTAGTCTCCATTATGAGATATTCCAGGGCCTGCCTTACTGTAGTTTCAGTGCCTCAGGCCCCCATTTTGATGTTGGGTGAGGTTTCCTGTTCATCTCAAAACATGATGAGTTCTTTCCTCACTGAACTGCTGTAGTGTGTTGTGGAAAAAACAGAGATAAAAACCTTTAATGTAACAGAAGGTTTTTTCTTTTTCATGATATTAAATCTTATAGCTGTGATTCCATTATTAAAGCTCATAACAGATTTAAAGAACATAACTGTGTTAGTAGAAAATGGAAAAGGAACCTACCACACATGGGATTGTGTAGTTACTCTCTAGATGTGCTGCTTTTAGAAGGACTTACATTCTACCATTCTTAAATTGTGTGTTTCTTTGTTTTCTTCTCTTTGTTTTGTTTTCACAGGTATCTTGTGACAAATTTGATGGGTGCTGACCTGAATAACATTGTGAAGTGCCAGAAGTTAACTGATGACCATATACAGTTTCTCATCTATCAGTTACTTCGAGGTCTTAAGGTACTGGCTGAGTGCAGGAGCTTTAGTGTCAGCAACCACAATATTGTAGTAACAAGTGTTTCATTGCAGTGACAGTACTTAAACAGTTTTTAAAAGTGCCTTAAGAATGTGTGGATAGCAGCAATCATTTCAGAAATTATCAGATCATTTTTTGTAACTGGAGATAAGAGCCCAAGCCTACCAGCGTTTGCATGTACAATGCATTTGAATATTCCCCTTGAGCACCAGCTTTAGATCACTGCCTATTTAAGTTATTACTGAAGGAGAATCACTTGGTATATAGTGTCTCAAGTGAACATGTTCTGTAGTGCACAGTGTGTTTTATAACTCACCTGTCACGAGAAGAGAGGAATGTGAAATAAGACCAGAGATGCTTTGAAAGATATGAGCTAGTTTGAAAGAATACAGCCCTGACTTTTGTAGAATGTCACATGGGTAAAAAGATAACCAAGTTAATTATCTTCTTTGGGAAATGTCTAGAAAAATAAGTTTATCCTGGCAATGTGCAATGTTGCACACAGTCACCTAGGATTTACTCTGCCTGTGGAGTCACTTTTTCCTTCAGTCGTATCAGTTAAAGCCTATGCAGTTAGCTAACCCAGGTGATTGGCAATGAAACTGTAGCAATTTTTTCTTCCCAAATAATTAATAGGTGTCATTTTGCTGACATTAAATGTCGTGTAAGTGTCAATAAATAGGAGAAGTAGAAAAAGCTTCCCGTTACTAGGTGATAAGCATTTTCTCAGACTGGTGTTGATTTTCCTGGGTATAAGCAAAAAAAAAAAGAAAAAAAGAAAAAAAGAGAGAGAGGGGTCAGCTGCCTTAGTAGCTAACTTAACAGTAATTTATATTTTATACATGGAAAATAACTCTGTGTTTGAAATCAAGCTGTGGTAAATACTGACTTTAAAACACACTTATTACCTGATTGTCAGCAAGTCACCTGAGAGTTGTGCCTGAGACAGTAATTCTTATTCATGCGTGCAAGTTCTGTCAATTTAAGTGCAGATTTTAGCAAATAAAAATTGCAGAACTGAGCTTTTAATTGGTTTGTCTCATTTATTTAAGTTAATAGATTAATTAGGAAGATGGAGTCTGGAGTTAATTATCCATCTTGTGGTTTTGAATATAAGGCTACGTTGTATAAGAGCTAAAGAATAGTGAGAATTGTGCTCTAAAGTGAATATGAATTTCAGAAATACACTCTGGTGCATTTCTGGCTTTGTTTTGAAGGGGAGGGGTTGAAGGTGGCTCGTCTCTTCTGGAACTGAAATTCTCATGTCTCATTAGTTGAAGAACATTTGATCATCTGTAACTCCTTGCCTACATTATGATGTCTATTCAGATACGTGAGTGAGCTTTAGGCTCGCTGGTAGGTGTGTTCAGCAGCATGGAGCACAGGCTTTGTGCCTTGCAGAGGCTGTCGTGGAGCTGCATAGCTTGGTACCTGAGTGCTTGGTGACACCGAGAGGAGCTGTTGTCATTCTCTCAGCAGAGCAAGGACACAGCTTCTTCTGTTGCAAGTGGTGGTTTGGTTTCCTCTGCATTCAGCTGGCTTGCAGCTGTTTTGAGGAGTGCTCAAGGGTGGCTCTGCCCAAAGAGTTGATACACAGGCTTTGCTGTAGTCTCTGCTCCTGAAAAAGAAGTATTCACCTCCAGAGAATAGAAGATAAGGGTTTCAAGGTCTTGCTGATCCTGGTCAGTAAGATTATGTATAAATGGGCTGTTAATCCTAACAAGCAAATGACAGGCAATTACAGAGTAAACTTTTCTCAGTCTTCGAGTTTAAAACTTTTATGTAAAATAACAGAGACACTAAGTAGATGCTAAAATACTGCTTTGGGTCCCTGCTTTGAAAGTGGACCTGAAGTAATGCTGTGGCTTAGGTGGGTATTTTGGTCACTACTCCCAAACTGCGAGTATCTCTCACTCAAATTCAGGATTCACAGTATGGGAAGGCGACTTAGAATCATTAGAATGATTTATTTAGAATGGTTTTGGTTGGAAGACCAAAGCACTGCCCAGCACTGCCAGTTCACCACAAAACACCACACCTCTACATTCTTTAAATACCCCCAGGAATGATGGTGCCACCGCTTCCCTGGGCAGCCTGTTCCAATGCTTGACAAACACTTTCAGTGAAGAAATTTTTCCTAATATTCAACCTAAACCTCCCCTGGTGCAACTTGAAGCCACTTCCATTTTCAAGTCCTATCACTTGTTACTTGGGAGAAGAGACCAAGAGGAGAACTACCTCCTTTCAGCTAGTTGTAGAGAGTGATACGGTCTCCCCTCAGCCTCCTTTTCTCTAGGCTAAACAACCCCAGTTCCCTCAGCTGCTCCTCCAAAGACTTGTGCTCTAAACAGTTCACAAGCTCCATTGCCCTTCTCTGGACACGCTCCAACGCCTCAATGTCCTTCTTGTAGTGAGGGGCCCAAACTGTACACACTACTCGAGCTGTGCCATCATCAGTACAGAGTACAGGGGCACGATCACTCCCCTGCTCCTGCTGGCCACGCTGTTTCTCATACAGGCCAGGATGCTGTTGGCCTTCTTGGCCACCTGGGCACACTGCTGGCTCATGTTCAGCTGGTGGTTGACCTACACCCCCAGGTCCTTTACTGCGGGGCAGCTTTCCAGCCACGCTTTCCCAAGCCTGTAGCTGTGCATGTGACCCAAGTGCAGGACCCAGACCTTGGCCTTGTTAAGCCTCATCCAGTTGACCTCAGCCCATTGCTCCAGCCTGTCCACATCCCTCTGCAGAGCATTCCCAACGCTCCTGCCTAATTTGGTGTTGCATGCAAACTTACTGAGGGTGCTCTCAATCCCCCTGTCTAGATCATTGATAATGATATTAAAGAGAACTGGCCCAAATACTGTTCCCTGGGGAACACCACTTGTGACCAGCTGCCAACTGGATCTAATTCCATTCACCACCGCTCCCTGGGCCCAGCCAGCCAGCCAGTTTTTTATCCAGTGCAGTGTACATCCATCCGAGCCATGAGCAGCCAGTTTCTCCAGGAAAATACTGTGGGAATCAATCTCGAAAGCTTTATTAAAATCCAGGTTAGCCAAGCAGCACCTGCTTCTCATAAACCCACACTGACTGGGTTGTCCTGCATGTGCTGCATGGTGGCACTCAATCTCAAGATGACCTGCTCCATAACCTTCCCCAGCAGTGAGGTCAGACTGACAGGTCTGTAGCTCCCCAGATCCTCCTTCTGGACCTTCTTGTAGATGGGCATCACACTTGCTAACCTGCAGTCAATTGCGCCATCCCCCATTAGCCAGAACTGCTGGTAAATGATGGAAGTGGCTTGGTGAGCACTTCTGCCAGCTCCCTCAGTACCCTTGGCTGGATCCCATCCAGCCCCATAAACATGTGTATGTCTAAGTAACGTAGCAGGTTGCTAACCATTTCCTCATGGATTATGGGGGCTTCATTCTGTTCCCAGTCTTTCCAGCTCAGAGGGCTGAGCACTCGGAGAACAATGGGTCTCACTATTGAAGAGTGAGGCAAAGCAGGCATTCAGTACCTAGGCCTTTTCCTCATTCCTGGTCACTACACTTCCCCCTGCATCCAACAGAGGATGGAGATTCTCCTTAGCCTTCCTTTTACTGTTAATGTGTTTATTGAAACATTTTTTATTGTCTTTTATGGCAGCAGGCAGATTAACTTATACTTGGGCTTTGCCCCTTCTGATTTTCTCCCTGCATAGACCCATGGAATCTTTGTACTCTTCCTGAGTGCCCTGTCCCTTCTTCCATAGGCCATAGACTTTCCTTTTCTTCCTGAATTCCAGCCAAAGCTCTCTGTTCAGAGAGACTGGTCTTCTTCCCCAGTGGCTTCTCTTATGGCACATTAGGGTGGCCTGCTCTTGCACCTTAAAGATTTCCCTCTTGAGGCATGTCCAGCCTTCCTGGACTCCTTTGCACTTTAGGACTGTCTCCTCAGGGACTCTGCCAACCAGGCTCCTAAACAGGTCAAAGCTTGCCCTCCATAAGGCCAAGGTGATAGTTCTACTGGCCCACCTCCTCCTTTCCCCAAGAATGGAAAACTATTGTTTCATGATCGCTGTGCTCCAGATGGCCTCCAACCATCACATCACCCACAAGTTGTTCTCTGTTCGCAAACAACAGGTCTAGCAGGGTGCCTTCCCTTGTTGGCTCACCAGCTGTGTCAGGAAGTTTTCTTCCACATAGTTCAGGAACCTCCTAGACTGTTTCCTCTGTGCTGTATTGTATTTTACAAAAAAGTGGTAGCAATGGGAAGACTTCTCCCGACTGCTTACAGAGTATTTCATCTGCCTCTCTCTCCTTGTTGAGTAGCCTATAACAGACTCCCACCATGATATTCTGCCCTGTTGGCCTTCCCCCTGATTCTTTCCCATAAACACTCAACCTAATTGTCACCGTCACTAAGCTCGAGACAATCAAAACACTCCCTCATGTACAGGGCCACTCCACCACCTCTCCTTCCTGGCCTATCCCTTCTGAAGAGTTGATAGCCATCCAGCACAGTGCTCCAGTTGTGCAAATCATTCCCCTACATTGACTTATATCATCTAGGAAACAACCACACTACTCCTTAGGCCGGTGACTTCACTGACCCGCTAGATGATCAACATGAACGTTCAGGTAAGACTGGACCAAATTCCAAATTGGGAAGCAACCGTCAGCAGATGAATCTCTGCAAGTCCTATCTTTTATGGCAGAATCTAATCTTAACAGTTACACTTCTTGAAATATCCAGGTCTGGATAAGACAAAACAAGGAGGTTTTGATGTTTGTCATACCTCCATTTGATCTGAAAATATAGTGTGATGCAAGTCTTTTCTGTGTATAGAACAACCACTCTCAGAAGTGATAAGACAAGTGACTCACACCTTTATGCACCTCTAACTTCAAAACTTACCTCTTCTTTTTCTTTTTTGTTTCACAGTATATTCACTCAGCTGGAATCATCCACCGGGTGAGTTCACTCACTGCAAAATAAAAATGAATGAAGCGTGTCCCTCTGTGCATCAATTGTGTTACTGACAGTTATAATATACTTCAAAAGGTTAAAATCATACTTGACTAACTCTTTCTGTTCTGCTGCAGGACCTGAAGCCCAGTAACCTAGCTGTAAATGAAGACTGTGAATTGAGGGTAGGTATCATGCTGTTGTAAAGAAGAATGTTGTAAAAGCCCACAAGATGGAAGTTTTCTGAGAAAACATTAGCTACCATTTTTATTTCTGATTCACATTTATTTCAACTGTTTACTACTATTGCTCCCCTGGTACAGAAGAACCATTTCCATGAACAGGTGTTCTCTTCCAAATGTTCATTTAGTATTGGGAGGACCTTATAGCGACCTTCCAGTATGTGAAAGGGGCCTATAAGAAGGCAGGGGAAGATCTGTTCTCAAGGGTTTGTAGCAACAGGAGAAGGGATAATGGTTTTAGGCTAGAAAAGGGTAGATTTAGGTTAGGCATTAGGAAAGAGTTCCTTAATATGAAGGTGATTGATCACTGGAATGGGTTACTCAGAGAGATGGTGGAGACCCCATCCCTGGTGACATTCAAGGTCAAGCTTGATAGGGCCCTGAGCAACCTGACCTAGTTAGAGATGTCCTTGCTTATTGTAGGGGGATTGGACTAGATGGCCTTTAGAGTCCCTTCCAACCCAGTACATTCTTGGATTCTATTCTGTGAACACAGGGATCTTTGCAAAACATTCATCCCTAGTTCTTTTTGTCCCACGAGTGAGTACTGAACTGAGGATGTTTTTAAAGTTTCACCTGTGATGTGTTTCTGCTGTGTTTAGATGAAGCCTTGTAACAACTTCCATTGTTACAGAATATACAAGCTAAATGAAATAATGGTATGAAAAAGGTACCATTATTACCAGTTATGTTACCAGTTACAGGCAGTAAAAAAAAAATGTAATCCATGCTTCTCAAATGCTATTTTAATGTACGTGTCTTTGTGGATGTGTGAGATATGATATTACATAATAAGCATGAGAGTCCAGTGAAGGAGAAGCTGTCTTCTAGCTTTCTAAGCCTTTAAGCCTCAGAATGTGGAGTTTAGCATTTCTCCGTGACAGCCAGAAACGCCTTTCTCCCTGTGACTGGGGCTCTGATGTAATCACTTTATTCCAGCTGCGAGGGATTTAAGAAAAGAGTCCAAATGCTACAAGATCAGCAAAAAATCACTGTAGTGAATAAAAGCAGTGCAATTAGGTGCTCACACTAATCTGGATCTTCAGGGAACAACTGTGGTTCCTGTTTGCTTTAGTGGCGCTTGCAGATGCTCAGCAAGTTTCGTGATTATCCCTTTAATGTCTTCATGCATGTATGTTCAGCATCTGCAAAATTTTATGGGTCATCTGGGTCTGATCATGCACTCTTAAATGTGTGCTGTGTTTTTGTACTGTAAGTAAAGGAGACTTTTAATCTATTTTTTCTTTTATTATGGTATCTGTGCACCTCCCTGCCTAGCATTTCTTGCATTGCTCTTTGCTTTGTACATATTTATAGCTATACTTCCTCTGATACAAAATTATTGTCTAATAGAACAAACTAGTGGATATTTCCAGGAACAAACAAAAAGGAAATAGAAGGAAAAAGAAATAAAACCTGTGTGTGTACACATTTGATAAAAGGGAATATCTATTAAAAAAAAAGTATTGAGAAAACCCCTACAAAAATAAGGACATTAATGTTCAAATTTCACACCATTATTTATGGCTATTTATGCCTATTAGGCTATTTTCATGCCTATTTATGCCTCATGCTTTTATTATTGCTTATTTAAGATAATGCTTTTAAAGTATATTAGAATTAAATATGTTGTGTTATTTCTACCAATATTTTTCTTTAGGCTTTTTCTATCTATAAATTGGATTACGACTGAGGAATTTTGAATTATTTCTTAAAATTTTCTTACCCCCAATGAGAAGGATTAGCCAGCAGCTTAATAAATAATCCTGGCTTTCTTCGTGGGAGGTTGCTATTGATCTTAATTCACGTTTCTATTGGAAGAGATGCTAACTAGGTCAGATGCCTGACTTTGCAAACAGTACTGAGGCTCAGATAGTACCCTTTCACAGAAGCCTCTCTTTGAATTAGGGATACCTTCTAGCTCCATAATTAGTGAAACATAGACTAATCAAAAAATAGAAAGCAAAGAAATGAGCAGGAAAAATTTAATTGGAATAACTTCCTGCCAATGTAAACTTATCAAGGGAGAGCATACGGAGGAGAACGTTTTGCCATCAAGCGTATGAGTAATCTGTCTACCTAAACAGAGCTCCTTTGTTGTTTTGGTGGGGCAGTTCTACTGAAAACAAGTGGTATGTGATTTAAATCTACCGTGTTACACAGGTTATATGTTTTGCTCCTAGTGGCATTGAAATGATGCACAATTTGGGTATATGCACAGGTAGATGTGAAAGGGAGTCAACAGGAATTCTGCAGATCTGTGATCAGCTTGTGTGGTGTTTAAATGGCCAGCACCACTTGCAGTTAGCATTTTACACAAACATTCCCAGTTCATAGTGTTTCACTTTTTGTAGCAGCAGTACTTATTTTTAGCAAGTGAATTTCAGCAAGAAATTGAACTCAAGGCAAAATGTAAAGTTTGCCTCAGAGGAGAAAGGGCCGGGCTCGTTGCAGTGGAAGCACCTTTATGCAGACCCAGAGGCTGCAGGGATACAGAAGGGAGAGCAGATGAGCTGATCTGCAGAGTGTTGCTCTTCTACTTCACCAACTGTGGGAGACTATGGGAAAAGTCAGCCCCTGTAACAAAAGTGTAAAGGGAGTTTTTAAATTACTAATTTTTTTTTATTTTTATTCTGTAGATTTTAGACTTTGGTTTAGCTCGACAAACTGATGATGAAATGACTGGATATGTTGCAACAAGGTGGTACAGGGCTCCAGAAATTATGTTAAACTGGATGCACTACAATCAAACAGGTAAACCATGAAGACTGGCATTTTGCTACAGCTGGATACAGGGATGGTTTTAAACTGAGAGGCAGCTCTGTTCAGGGTTCACTGACTCATTGTACATGTTTCTCCATTTTTTGGCAGTTGACATCTGGTCGGTTGGATGCATCATGGCAGAGCTGTTGAAAGGGAAGGCCCTATTTCCAGGAAATGATTGTATCCTTAACAGAAAACATGAAAAATATAAAAATACTCTCTAATTCTTCCTTTCTTTTAAAGACTTGAATGTTTCTATGGAAATGTTTTTGAAGTAACAAAATTCCAAAACCAGTAAACAATTTTTTCTAATCTTTCAGTTTAGTGTGTATGACAGCTGCATATGAGACCCACTGGTAGGAATTAAAAAAAGGAATAACAGATGTTCATAAGTTACATTTATTCTTTGTTGCTTCTCCATATTTAAATAATAACCCAGTTACAACAGAGCAGATTTCTTTCATGTGTATCTTACAGAAATACTCTACATCAAAACTGAAGCTGACTAAAGGCAATATTTTTTGATCAGCTAACCTGACTTTAAAATATGCCTCCTTTTTTTTTTCTTTCTTTTTTTTTTTAAATTCCAGTCTGCTTTTAGGCTGGAATTTCCTAAAATGCAAACAAATTAACTTTTAAATAATAAGTGAATTAACAGGCATATTGTGTCCAGTTATAAAAAAAAGCCAGCAGTTCCAGAAATGCTACAGGAACAACAAAGCCCTCTCTTTTCTTCAGCACTGTGCTGTGGTCCCTGCTGGAGCATCAGGGATTTCCACTGGTCTTTCCTGTGCTGGCAGGAGAAAAAAAAGAGCCATTGCTGAGGAAAGCAGTAAAATAATAAAACTAAAGAAAAACGCATAATGAGGAAACAACTGCATCAGAGGAGGAAAGTTTTAATATGAGAAACAAAGGCACATTCTTCTGTACTGAGTATTGACAATTCCTGCTACTCTGAAACTCCTCAAAAACCAAATACTTCTGCTGAAACTAGGCTGTTGCCAGGTGCAAAACAACATGACATTAGAATTGCCTGAAAAATTGTGAAGAGAGCTGAAAGCATGTCTCCCTGCTGACATTCCTGTTGTGCTCAGCATTGTTAGGGTCTGTTGTAACCACAGGCATTGTCCAGATATTCATCATCTGGATGATGAGTGTCCTTCAGACTGTTTGATTACATGATATGTGGTATTTGGAAAAATAAGTACATCTCATTTTCAAGAAATAAGATAATTTTTGCTGTTATAAAATATTGTCTGCAGTTACATTGTTACATCAATTTAAATAAAGCTGTAAAATAGCATTCAGTCTCTATGGAAAATGTAATATACTTTACAGGCCATATATGACAATGAAAAATGAACATATTCAAAGTTTTTCATCTTGAGACTGTTCTAAAACAGATTTTTAAAGCTATCAAATGAGAATTTTCTACTTGCCTCAGATTAGGAATCTAGTCCTATGTGCTGTGTTGTGTTAGACTGTTCTTTGGAAATCCCTCAGATCACTGAAACATAAATGTGCTATTAAAATTAAGTTTAAGAATACATTACCTTGGGAGCTAGGACAGGAAAGCAGTATTTTACATACACCTTTCTCACATACAGGCACACCTGACAGAGTCATAAAGTACAACAGAGAATTTCATACTCCAGAACTAGACTTAAACAGGTATGAATGGCTATCCTTCCATGGACTGTGATGGAATTGTCTTGCTGAATAGTTTTAAACATCTTACCTATCTGCATCAAAGCTCATTAGTTGTTTAAATCCAGGACACTTTATTTCCCTGAAATAATGCAGATATTGATCAGCTAAAAAGAATAATGGAAGTTGTGGGCACACCCAGCTCTGAACTTCTGAAGAAAATATCATCAGAACATGTGAGTTCACAGCTTCATTCAATTAACTGACTTTCTATCATTCTTTTCTCTAATTGGCATTATATGTCACTTGTTGTGTAACACATACTCTGATTTGGACATGAGCAAACACTTTAAAATTGTCTCTATTTTCAAAATAGAGGTAATTTGAAAAATATTCTCTTTACAGATATCCAAATGCCTTGACTGTCAGGTGGATTAATTTTGATACTTGTTCCCATGTACTCAATATTTGAAAGGAGTTTTGAAATTGAACCTCATGTTCTTTTAATGCTATTCTTACAGTGAAAAAAAATCAAACTGATTCTCAGCTAAGAGCGTTATATTGTTATTAAATCTGATGTCTCTGGAATTTTTATGCTTTCTGTGGTTGTAAGGGATCTAAATGGATATATCAGAATTAAATAATGAGTGTTCTGCATGAGTGCTCTCATTTGATTCCTAATTGGAAATTGATATTTGTTCATCTGTGTGGATGCTTGTGTGAGGTCCTTTCATGATAATATTTGTAGTCATTGGTGTGATTTTTAACTGTCCATCTGACTTCTTTAAAATAGTAATCTAGTAAAATTATTTCCCCTTTGTTTTTCTGCTAAAGCTACACTTAAAGGATTCACTTTAAGCAATAGCTGTGGATATCCAGCTGAGGAATGAGATGTGATATTGATCGATGAAGGCAGGTGATGGGCAGTGTGAAAATTCAGATAAACACCAGCACACAGATATCTCCTGAGCTGAAGCTGCCTTCTTAAAACTTTTCTGTATAGACCTCAGTCTAATACTGATTGCTGTTCTTCAGCGTGTGTGTATATTGATGGGTTTTCTTTGAACTCACTCATGAATACACCACTGAGTGAAGTGAGCAGGAGCACTAGGAGAGCCAGAGCAATATAAATGTGTGATTTACCCACAACTGGTCCGTTTGTGAGCTTTTTGATTATTATAAGAGTAAGCACCTTAAATATTTATTAGAGACCATATCTGCTTTTGTCTTTAGTTTCTTCTGTTTCAGAGCATATGTCAGTGAGATACAGGAATTCTGAAACTGTTTTACTGGGGCTAATTGTGCCTTCAGAGCATAGGGAGAACACAAAATCCAAGTTAGTGAATGGGAGTACTGCTAGGTCACCTCTGGGCTGCTGCTGCCTGCTTAGAGGAACAATGTCAAAGGACATACGTACCCTGCTTGGAGGTACTTGCCTCTTGCAAGGAAGTGTCTATCCTGTTCCTTCATCCTAGCTCTTATTTACTTCGTGGTTTGGCCTTATTGTTTAGATATTTCTTAATGCACCTCCCAGTCCATTTTTCCATTCCTCTAACAGCAAGGTCAGAGGTTTTCTGAAATGCCAAGCCTGTTTTCAGTTATGCATAGAGGATTAAAGAATTGGAAATTAAAAGATCAACCTCATGGGATGTTTCAGCACAAGTTACTGAGCTGTTTTGTCCATCTTTCATGTTAATGTGGGTTTAAATGGCAATTGCATTTAATTATTTTCAGAATAATTTAAATGCCTGGATTCTATTTGTTGGGTCTCTGTGGTAAGTATATAAGCAGAGGGGACAGGTTAGTAAGGAGACTTTGATAGGTCTGTGTTGTTTTCAAAGGACTTCTGGACAAGGTTGGAGATAATTTTGACCATATCTTGTTCAGTCATGTTTGGATTAGTGATGTTAATTGCCGTCCATACAAAAACAAATAATCCACAAATCCACAGATGTTTGTCATGAGATAAATTTACCTCTTGTCTCTGCCTTAGTCGTTAGCATCCAGGCCAGAATGTGTGACAGCTCTCTCTCTTGCTCTGCTGTTCATACCTATGTATAAACTAACACCTTGGGAGACTTACCTCTGGTAGGAGCTGCACACCCCGACCTTCAGCCAGTGTTTGATGCCTTTATGAACTTTAGGGGCATAAAATAGGTGGAGCAAAGCCTGTGCTTGCCTAGTCTTTCAACATTGTTCTCTGCAGAACCAGCTACAGCTGCTAAGAAGAAATCATCCTTTTAGAAAGCCTTGCTGTCAGCCCCAGTAGTAAAAAGGGGAAATGCTGCTGTAGTTTTAACAGGCTTGGGACGTAATGAGTGAGAACTTGCTTCTTCTGAGATGTGTCACTAGTGGTTGTCCAGAGTTTTGATAGAATATGCTTATGTCTTGCAAGAAGCAGAAAAAATAAATAGATCTGCCTTGTTAAATTAGAACACAACTTGAAACAAGACTGTACTATGTAATGATTTAAAATATCTTTGTCTCTTCATCATAGCTACAGAAATTAAGATGATGGCAGAGAGAACAGTGTAGGGCACAGATCTGTTTCCCAAGTGTGGTTGAAGGATTGCACAGATCATATGTCCAAGTATTTTATAGTTGCTTTGTGCAGAAGATAGTTCCACAGTTCACAGTCTGGTATCAGTCTTGAAGCCATGGAGCAGCTTGATATGAACTTTTATTTCCTTTGCTGTCCTCAGTATGCCAAGGATGCTGAGTTTGCCTCCTGCAGAGAGTCTCCTCCTAACAGGATTGCTAAGTGTGCAAGGAGACATCCCTGTGGCACAAACATGTTTTAAAAGGATTAAGGTTTGTTCAAAGATCAGCTGGGGCTTTTTAAGGATTTGGGGACGGTCACTTGCCTCTTCTTCAACTGTTCCATTTCAGAATTCCCTGTTCTGTCTGTTCCCAGCCCATAGGACCAGCATTCAACCTCTTTTCTTCCCAACCTATCTACCTCAGCCCAGAAATTTGTAGTTTATGTGGTGTCAGGCTCCATGCTGACATTTGTGGGTCCAATGTGCAGGTAGCTTTTTCCTAGCCAAGTCTGGATGAGTCTTTCACAGGCACAGTGACAAGGCAAGCTATCCATTCTGTTACACTTCTGAAGATCTGTGCCCTGGGAGTGTCAGGATTTGTTCTTTGGTTAGTGAAGCTACTGTTCAACAGAGTGGACACAGGTTGGATTATACCTCTCTGATGAGGGTAACTGAAAGGTGATTTAGGTTGCAGTTTCTGGTTGAACATTACATGTGTGTGTTCCCTGCAGATAAACTGCAATGAACCAGTAACCATAGGTGAAAACCTAAGTGCTAACACATAACCCTTATAGGAAAATATACCTGTTTAAACCTCTCTTGCTTATTGTGCAATATACAGGGTGACTGTTTAAAATAAAGTTATACATTATGGTTTTATATGAAGAAGGTTTCCCAGGTATAAGAAACAAACAAAACAATATTATGTCTAGTATTGTAGAGTTGGTATAGTTACTGCTGGGCAAAATTTAACCTCTGTGCATGTGGTATATGCATTGATTTATTCCTAGGCAAGAAAATACATTGAATCTCTTCCACATATGCCTCAACAGGATTTGAAAGCAGTATTTCGTGGTGCCAATCCATTAGGTAAGAAAGTCAGACTGATACAGATGAAGTTTTTCACTGACATGGGAACTCAAGCCTGCTTTTGCTCTGTGATCCCATACAATAATGATCAGAGCAGTGAGAAGGGCATTGCTTACTTAACCTTTCATTCTGAGACTGCTTTCCCTTCGTGAAGCCTGTGTTCTGGTGGAGAGAATATGGGAACCTCCTCACAGAAAATGGTCTGTGGATGAAAAACAAAAGCCAGCTATATACA